TGTCAGCTCCTTAAATCCACAGTCCAAGCTCCACACCAGCAAAGCACTCCAGTTGAAAGCCTTCATATCCTCTTTCTGACCATTGATAGAAAACAGATGTTGACGCTGCTTTTTTCTGACAGGACATTATGCATCATTTCAAAGATGTGGTTTCTCTTTGTGGGGTATTTCTATACATAGTCACTTATTCCGAACGTAGTTCCTTAAAGAGGTGAACTGTTATTGCATTTTATTAACAGAGACGCCTCTACAGATACCAAAATTATACCAACTTTCCTTCACTGCACTTTTAAATGCTTTTCTGATAACGTCACAGAAATCAAAATCTCAACCGGCTGCTGTAAATCATTAAAAGCATTTAAGATTGCCGTGACTTTTAGTGTTTATCTCCATAATGTCTACTAATAAAGATTAATAAGACTGTTTTCTTTTATAGTTTATTGAGAAACAGCTTTGGCTAATTTTATGCTCTTTCCTCGGGTAAGATGTTGACCTAATCGGAAAAAATTATTGCCTTTGAAATGTTTTCAACTCAGTAATTTTAACTTTTTTTTTTTTTTAAATGTGACTAGTTTGTATTTTTTTAGAGTGTTACAGGGAGCCTCATTCTGGCAGTGTACATAGCTAATATCTAAAAATTCATTGGGATTAAGTATTAATGCGTTATAAATATGGCAATAACAATTAATATCGAAGCCTAATTCAAACCACCATCTCTATGGATACTGAATTATTTTCTAACGTCCCTTATGACAACATAAAACACTTAAGTTGCAAAATTTACAATGCACCTTTTTGAATGACCGTGACATATTAGATAGCTTATTCTTTACTAAGGAGAAGCTTAATGAGGCTAGATAAAGATTTAGTTTGTAATATCATGATGTGAGGAGCTGCATAAAGACATGTTTTTTCAACAAAAAAAGCTCTTTTAAATAAGATATATACTGTCAATGGCCCCACTCTTCCTTTCCATCCAGAACATTTATATCATCGTCAGACAAGAAGTCGACCAAGAGAGTAATACGCATTCTATCTGGGGCATGCTAAACTCCTTCAGAATTGCCAAAATGTCTTTTATAGAGTAATGATCACTGGAGGAACGATGATGTCAAGATAAAAAAAAAAAAAACCTACATAGTTTTTCATGCAGAAATATATTTGAATTGGTACACTGGCAGGAAGTCCTGCTGAGACAGCTATTCCAAGGTGTGGAATAAATTTAAATCTAATGTTAAAAACAGATTTTATGAAACCAAAGGAAACAAAAGAGGGTTCAGGCCTTGTGGCCAAGATGAATAACGTGTTTTAAGTGATAACTCTACTGGAACTTTATGGCACTCTCTCTCTGTTTAAATCAACAACTACATTTCTTTAAGATATTTCTAAACTACAGCAAGCTAACTGAAAAGCAACAATTAGATTAAAAGCAAACACTGACAAAGAACTGTTACTGCTGTTCTTTGCATTAAAATGAAATGGAAAGGAACAAGAATGTATGCATTAGCCTACTATAATGTTTCAATGTGGAACTTGTCCAATAAAATGTCGCAGCTTTTTACGCCTTAAAGTCAACTTTCCTAAGAGTTGTTGCTATGACAAAGACGGCAAATAAGCATAAGAAAATATGCTTATATTTTCTTATGCTTACATTTTCTAAATGTACCTTCATAACATTTAGAAAACGTAAGAATTACACATACCACTCGCAACTTTAATGCAACTGTCATTGAAGTACACACAAAAAAGTTTAACTTTGACTGTGTTCTGTTTTTTTTTTTTCTTCCAAGATGGTTAAAGCTAACAGTGTATACATAATAAATCAAGTCAGTGAAATCACTGTTTCATACATTCTTGTCACAGGAGAAATATAAATATAAACAAAGATTATTAATGTCCCTCCATCCTGAAGACGGTTAACACACTGGATCTGGCTCTCATCTTGTATTGTCAGAGGCTTGGGAACCAGACTAAAAAAGGTGCAATAAAAGTGCAAAGACTTGCTGCTTTTCATCAACAAGTCTTTGAGGTGTATTTTCCATATTTCAGAAAAATTGTTATTTAGCTAACTGGATAAATACTAAGGTGAATTTGAAGGCCAGTAAATTTGAAGGCTGGATTCAGATCAAGTGTTACTCTTACCACAGCTGTCTATCCTATTCAGTAATTCCTTTAATCCTGCTTTTTGTTATGAAGAGGTTCTCCGGACCTAGAGTGTTACGGGTTCACAGAGCAGGGATTGCGGTTTTGGAAAAATACATTATGAGGAAAAAAATATATCGTTAACATAGCAAGCAATTACCAGCAGACCGACAAAGAAAAGAACAGAAACAAAAATCTTTATGCAGATAAGCCACACTCCTGGAAATAATGATCATAACTGATCTCTGGGCAATTCATTGCGAAAACGCAGCAGGCCTCAGCTCAGAAAGCATTGCCAAAGTGGGACAAGCAGCTCACAGCTTATCATCTTAATCAAACCCGTCACTGGTTTTAAGCAAAGTATAATGTTGCAATCACAGGAATTTGTGATTTAAGTAGGTTTGGAACTGAAAACCTACAAGTTTCCTCTTCTTTTTTTTTTTCCACTTTTCACTTTTGAGCCAAGCACATTTACCTCCGTGATCTTTAGAGCTGTGAACACAGGCACAGAGTCTGCAGGCTGAAAATGCTCAGTACTGGCACATTAGGCCTTTAAAACAAAGAAACCAAACAAAACGATCTCTATGTGGAATAAGTGAAAGACTCAAAAACAGAAGGCCTGAGTTGGCACCAACCTCTGGTGTCTCCTCTGCTTCCTTTCACAACATGATAAATAGCTCCAGAATGAAACCTTAAGCTCCGCACATGGTTGCATAACACATACCACAGTATGTGTCTTTTGTGCTGTCTATTTAAGACTTCTAAACCAGATTTATCAAAGAAATGAAAATGCAAAGAAAATCAAATAAATTCAGTTTCTTAACCTGAACTGCTGAGTGACAAAAAACAATGACAAACATCTCTGCATTCCTCCTCAGAAAAAAAAGGTCTGCAATAAACAATACCTTGCAAAAGTATTCATGCCCCTTGTATTTATTCAAATTTTGTCACGTTACAACTGTAAACCCTGATGCATTTCTTTCGTGTAATTTTTTGATAGACCAAAATACATGAGTGCATAAACGTGTAGCATTCCTATATGAACAAATGCAAGTTTTTTGGACTGTAATTAGCCTGTTAGCTAAGTTGGATGATCGTATTTTGTTTGGTGAGTTGTTGTGAAATACCCAGTAGTGCTCTCTAATAAATATCTCAGCCCTTCACAGAGCAGTTGGATTTATACAGAATCAGGTGCACACTGAACTTCTGAAGATGATTAGTTGCACTGGATTTCATTCAAGGGCGTCAAAAGCTTGTGACACTTGTTACATTATTTGGTTAAAAGTGTAAAACAATTAACCAATTTTTGGCCATTTGTGGTTGTAATGTACCAAAATGTGAACATTTCTGGTTATATATTTGGGTGTAACTTTAATCAGAAGTAGGTCTTTGATAGGCTTTATGCAATTATATATTCCCAAGCTAATGAATACCATAAGTATATATTTTTAAGCACCATAGGTTTGCCAGCTTAAATCATGTTGCGGCAAGTTACATTAGCTCTGGTACAGAAACACGCTGTATAGAATTTCCATGTTGATGTAACCGAATTCAAGGCACGCTTTATAGTTTTTGGAGCCATGTATGAGACTTGTTTAACTGATGTTGCAAGGGATTGCTGGGTTAGTCTTCAGCTCACACTGCGCAGGTGACCTGAAATGCACTCTGGGAGACATTATCATGGCTTTTAGCTGAAGCAATTTTTCTTCTTTAAATAAACAGTGTGGGAAACAATTTGCGGCTGCAGCCAATAACCATAAACCAACATCATTATGTCAAGACTGTGTTTAAGATGAGAAGATCAAACAAAGATGTCACTTAACCAAGGACAGAGGTTGGTCAAGCAATGCAAAGCAAAAGTCAGTTTCTTTCATGAGATACCCAAGAAACAGTCAGACTTTTAGCTTGACAAATCTTTCCTTAAATGGGACTTGAGATCTGTTGTAAATTAAGATCTTTGCAACATGTTTGAAATTTGCTCCCTAACTAAGTTTTATGATTGTGTTTCTGAAGCAAAAACGCACTTGCCTTTAATATAAATCACAATGAGTCTGTAAATAGCATATCCCATTCCATTTGAGCCATTAGTCACCCCAAACAAGGTTAAAGCACCCTCAAAAGTTTATAATCAAGGCTAATGTTAAGAAGTGGTTTGGAGATGTTACAGTAGCGCTTCTGCAGTTTTTGTTTTAGTTAAATGATCCATCTTTCTGGACAGTTTCTTTCCAAACATGAGTAGCAATATGCTTGTTTAATTGTGTTACTTTATACAAAATCCATACTGTTTGTCACATGGGAGTAATTTTAAACCATGAACTTTTCCATGAGGTCAGCGGAGTTCCAAGTATTTCTTACAAACAATAACTTTATAAAATTAGCAGTATGTTTTCATTATGCCTGGAAGGCTGAGCACAAAGGAGAGATTAGCTACTAACAAATTGATCTGTAGCCTCAGACAGGAGATTAATCCACATTGTTTAGAAACTCTCCAGTGTCAGGGCACAGGATAATGATAACAAGGTTTCCAGTGGAGGTATCCATCTATTTTCATATGTAAATACAGCTCCAAACAATAAGTAAATGTATAAAGCATGTAAGTTTAATGGATTGTGGTAGTACAATTCAGGAGAAATCTGTTCACTAGAAACAATTAAAAAGCAAACAAACTGTTCTCTAATTGTTTTCTTGTTTCTTGAGGCAGATATAAAATTTAACTATTTCAGACTTAAACGCTATTTCATTTTAAGAACCAAGCTAATTGGTCATTTGATTTATTACAACAGATTTAAGATTAACATTTTGCAACACTGCAGTTTTCCTGTTTCCTACTTTTACTGCATACATTTAACTTTGTGTACCTGTAACATGTCGTAACTTCTCCGGTCGACTTCACGCAGGGATACTTTGTAGTTGAAATATTATTCTCAGAGCATTTTTCCCTGGAAAAGAAAACATATAACATTTTGAACCGAGTTGAACATAATTTTTCTTCTCTGTTAGTTTAAAAGTGATCATGAAAACAGTTACCCCTCACTGGCATCCTCTTCCTGGTAAGACCAAAGCAAAGCTCCCGAGAAACACATGCAGGTGACGGTGAGCAGGAGAGGACTCCTGTTGGGCTGCAGCAGCATGACGTCGACCTGTCGACTGTCCACGCTTGGAGAGACTGCCTCCTTTCTGCTTTAACTTCAGCGGGTGAGGTTAGGAAGGAGGCAGGCAGACCCTCCCATTCACCCAGACATGGTGAATCTCCCACAAAGAGCCTCAGATGTTACCTAATTCCTTTGATGTAGTCACCAGAACTTCCACACTAATATCACATATAAAAAAAATATGTAAAATGATAATAATAATTAAAAAAAAGTATATCGGACATGCTAGAAAATACTTGAAGAATTTGTAGACGCGAAGCTAAATCGTTTGGGTGACACGGTAACAAACAAACAAACCTTCAGCATGAGGAACTGTCAAAGGAAAAAAAATATAGGGAGAGCAGCTCTGGCAGACCCGCGCGTGTAAGCACGCGCTTCTGTTATAGTGCGTCATAATCTTTGCTGCCCTCGCGCGGCTGTGAATACGCTACTAGGCAAATACGTTTCAGTATAGCAACGCTGATGAACAATGAACGAATTTGGTCAGAAAAGTCAAGGTAATTTATCATACCGCAGGAAACCACAATAAAAAAAGAGCTTTACTTTCGTGCTGGTGTGCTTGTACGCAACACAATACATGATGGAAAAAGTGCTTAAGTAATTACTTTTATTTATTTATTTATTTATTTATTTATTTATTTATTTATTTATTTATTGGCTTAAGCCACAAGCACAAGATATATATATATATATATATATATATATATATATATATATATATATATATATATATATATATATATATATATGAAAAATTGCCAAAAGAAAAAAAAAAGAAGGTGCTTAACAAAAAAAGAAGTATACTACAACAGAAAACATTACTGTTACCTAAGAACACCTGCTAAATTAAGTATTAAGATTGCGTTGTGCAACATTCGGGTTGAACAATAAAGTTTTTAGTTTGGGCAACATTCCTTCTTCCTGTATAGTATGGTGCTGTAGAGTCAGGACACGAGATGACAGTATTTGATGACCTGGGGAAAAAAAAAAAAAAAAAAAAACAACAACCCGATGTTTTTAGATCGCAATTTAGGCCGAGACCATTTAGTGTCTTGTAGATCAATAACATAATTTTCAATCCGACCTCTTTACAAGCAGAGAATCAGAATGAGGATTTGTGGAGTGGTGAGATTTCTGGCAGGCACACTGATTTACTTTTGAATGACCTGCAGTTTAATTATCTGTTTACACCTTCAAAAACCCAAATACAAGAACTGTCATTTGTCTATACTACGATCATTGAAACGTAAGTACAATTTACAATATCTCCAGGAAAAAATAATCAGGTTGATTTTTTTTTACAGTAGACTTTAAAATTAATATTTTGTCATTTTGCATGATGAAAGATGAGCTAAGACCAAATGCCAATGTTCTTAAAAATGAACTAGATAACTAGGTAGATAATTTTAGTAGATTTCAATTAAAAATACAATCTTTGAATTGTCTATATCCAGACAAATGATATGAATTAATGTCCTAACTTATAAATTTAGTAGAAATAGTAAAAGAAGATACACTCTGAATTATATCAAAACATTAATATAAGGACCCTAAAGTGCTTCACACTACATTCATTCATTCACTCGTTCACATACTGATGGTGACAAGCTACTGGATAGTAGCCACAGCTGCCCTGACCTGCATATTTTCAAAATTATTGAACAAATAATAAGCTCCAAACTAGATACAAACATAAGCCTAGAATATTTTGTGCACAGTAAAACATTTTTAGGGTGCTAACTCTGTTTACACCATAGGGATGTGCGAGTCTTATTGGCTGGATATGTAAATAAGCAATGCAAAAATTGTTGCAAATGCAAATCTGACAAGCAATTTATTTTTATTTAATACCCCCCCAAATGACTGTGCACCCTGGCAGATAGCCACATTTTATGTCAACATAGCACTATGTCAAGGATAACCAAAACAACTAAACTCAGTCAGCTAATCATTAAACGAACAAAACAGAAATTGGAAGACGGAAATTTAATTACAGATTTTCACAAATGTTTGGAAGTATGAAGCAAATATCCGCCTCTATTATCTATGCCAGAACACCAGGGATCTACATCAGCAAAGTCATCACAAACAAAGCCAAGCGGTGTGTTGGAGAAAAGCAGACTTTGTGATTTAACTGAGCATCTGAGAAAACAAAATCTACTAAAGTACTGCAGGACAAACACACTATTTTTAGCCTGAATCCCAGTTGCTTTGCATACGTTTCACCTTTTCATGTTGAGACGTAACTGATTACATGGCCAATTTATGAATTAAAGGCTTGCTCATTAACAGCTGCCTCTTAGTTTCGAAGGGAAGAACATGTTCACTCATTATGACAAGTTCTAACAACATGTTAGGCAGCATAGTGATCAGCAGTTAACACATTGCAATTTTTAGGCTCTGCCAATCCACCTTTAAACTCACTCATTAACTGGGTCAAGGTGCCTAAAAGAGGTGTGGCATTAAACCTCTCACGTACTGCTGACCTTATTCATGAGCTACCTTGACCTGAGTCTCGGCACCTGTAGTGTTTACCTGCCTTTGCAGAACTCAAGAGTTCTTCAGTTTCTAAAGGAGACAGGATGGCATTACAGCAGAACTACTGAGGAGTCTGTAAAAGATATCCTTATGAAACAAGATGACTGTGGTGTCACTTACATCTGCTTTTTTTTTTTTTTTTTTTTTTTTGGGAAAGCGGTTAAACCGGGCAATTTAGGACCACGCATTAGTTGGTGTCTATACAAGGAAGAGGTAATAAAATGGATCCAATTACAAGATATATATTCTTGAAGAGTTGGGAATTGTACCTCTTGGAGAATCATTTGGCAGAAAATGACACCTTGAGTCCACTTCAAAGGACCTGGTGAAGCGTGACCGCTCTCAGTGCAAGAGAAAGCAGTGTTTCACCGGTCTGGTGGCTTCATTACAACAGATCCTCTACTACTACTACCGTACTATCCGCTGCAGCTCTGCTCTGAAGGGCTGCACTTCAGCTTCTGGCCACTTGATGGCCCTTTCGACCAACAGATCTCGCCCTCCCCCCCACCACCACCCCTTCTTTCGCCACTGTCGTCATCATTGCCCACAAAATGGATGACAGCTTTTTTAGAAATATCAGCGTGCGTCATGACTGTGAGGTGCACATGCTGTGCCATTTACGTTCCACCTGTTCTGATGATGCCTCAGCAGCCTCAGCAGGCAGGGAGAGATCATGCCTGCAACAAACAATCTAATACTGTTGAGCACAGATACTGCATCAAAGCAAGAGGACACAGGAGATACAGCTCACATGTTTTGCAACAGACAGATACAATAATAATCTGTGACATGTGAATAAGTCACTTATGACATCAAAGAATCATTTATTCTAATCTGCTTATTAGGTTTTTCGCCATAAGTATAGCAACACACGTTTTGCATGCGTTTTTATTTTCCATTGTTGATGATGACCTTGCTTTTAGAAATGTATTTTTTATAGTGTAACCATCTTTTTGACAATTGCAGGGATTAGTTTTTATCAATGATCTTTGGGTTATTTATGCCACCTTTTTTTTATTTAAGTAAATGTAAATGGAGGGGATCTGTAAAACTGAGGCAACAATCAGCTCTAAACGAGATTAGACAGGAAAGCAATTAAAGAAGGAATGTTGCAGGATTGTGTTTTACATGGGGAATAAACAAGATCTATTGGCTGTGTGTTTTGATTAAAGGAGCTTATTGAGGTAAGAGCAGAAAGTTAACACTGAAGAAAGGTGGAAATTATTTCACCCTGAACTGCCTTATTTTACTAAACACTCTCAGAATATCTATTTGGCAAGAGAACCACCCAAACAACACATGCTCTCATGCACTGGTAAATTAGAATACGTGCCGTGAAAAGTGATTCACTGTCTTGTGGGTTGCTGACATTGACGCGAACCCTTTAATGCTTAATGGATTCCTCACCGTGGAGGCCTGCAGTCGCGGACTACCCACAAACATGTTCTTTTATTCTCTAAATTCTTTTTGCACACATGGGACAGCAATGGGAACTCGCCTCTCCTCTGTCTGTCTCTTCTCACAGTGCAGCACTGCAGTGCCTCTCTGCACATGCTCAGTCAGAGAGACTAAGGGACAGCCACAGACAGTTGGAGCTCCCTGAAAATATGAACAGCCCCCATCATAAGACGTTGTTGTCTTGCAACCAGGCTCTGAATCATGCCGAACTTAAGAATAATAGGTGGCAGTGTTGCTGACGTGGGCATATTCATTCCTGCATGAATAAACTTTTTATAGAAACATTTCTGCTTTGTCAAGGTCACTCTGTCTCTCTCAAGCTCAGACTGACTCTCTTTTGTGGAGGCTTTATGTGCTGTGAGCATTGGTAGCGATTTATATTCCTTCCCTTAATATCTGGTACTGTTTGAGCTGTTCTTTAGCTTGTAATTATTTCCACTTATTTTCTACAATGAATCTAAATATGTAATAATTTACTGTGAATACAATAGCGATTTTTTTTTAACTATCCATAATTTTTCAGTAAAATTAGTGACTGTGAGTCCTATTTTTTCTGTTTGTAATTAACACAAATGAGCCTTTGCAAAAATATCCATGTTCTCCTTTCACTTTTTTCATGTGCATAGACACACAGACTTTATTGTGTTTTATTGAGATCTTCATTAAGACACAGTGCTATAATTGCATTTCACAATTAGAACATAATTGTGAAGTGGAAGGAAGAATGCACAATGACCTTTTTGTTCTAAGTTAAAATTTGAATCATGGCACTTGTTTTGTCAGCCCCCTCTATATCTTAGAACCCCGAAATAAAATATACAGTGACAAAATGTTTTTAGAGCAAGCAAAATTATTATGTAAAGTCCAACTCTGGGCAATTATTTCTCAGAATGTAAAAGTCGCAGAGATCTGCTAGCGAACTTTGATCAACAGACAGCATCATGTAGATCAGTAAATACAATGGAAAAGTTGGAGATAACTTTGTGATGAAGTTTAAAGCAGAGCCAACAATCATTTGAGGAACTATTCAATCTATCATCTGCAAATGGAAAGAGTGCTGCAGAGCTGCAAACCCACCAACACAGAAGCGCCCACCTGATCTGACAGGCCTGACAAGAAAGGCATTAATCAGAGACGCAGCCAAAAGGCACATAGTAACTCTGGAAGAGTGCAGGGCCACAGCTCATGTTGGAGATTCAGTTGACAGCACAACTACTACCCATGCAACATACAAAATGACCTTTACAAAAGAGTGGCAAAAAGAAATAAAAAGGAATTTGCTGAAAGAAAGTTTTAATCTGTTATGGTTCATGCCTGGATGGCAGCCGCAG